AGGAAATCTTGCAGTACTTAAGACCCTCCCGAAACTAAGAGGGCGTTTTCTAGGTGAGAATATACAGTCCGGGTATACGGGGATCTTATTATAATATACCCAAAGCCATAATCTATCTACTTGAGGGGAACTACAATAATAGGGGTGAGGGGTGTTTCATATATGTCTTCAGCCCTAAGCCTTGAGTAACTTGCAAAGCTTGAAGCCTGTAACAGACCGCAAACGCTGTATTTCACAGCATTCGCAGTTTGAGGCCGGAAAAAAGACAGGCAAGCAAGGGTTTTGGCATCCCTCGTGGGGAAACGGCACGAAAAAAATTACAAGTAAGAAAACAAAAAGTTACACCTAACTAAATCCAATTCAAAACCCTAAAAGTTACAAGTAAGCAAAAAAGGAAGTTACAACTAAGCGTGCTTCCCCCCCGGTCGGCAAAATGCAAACAACGACCTCTGCCATTAGCCAGGTGGGCGGAATCTGGCCCTGTCTCTGCCTCACGGCTCCTGGCAACTCCAGGCAGCAGGTCCTTGACTAAGGTCGATGCAGGATACGGTCATGAGACTTTGCGCACTTGCCAAGGACCACCCGCATCCACGATGGACGTGTTGGGTTACGTGAAGCCGCTACCCAAAGGCAGCGCGATGCAGAAGCAGCGTGGTAGGAAAGGTGGACAGCGAGAAAACCTCCAGGCTTCGAAAAGAGAAAAATTCGTGTTGGGAAGAGGCCGGCTCTTAGAGCAAAAGGCCGTGAGTCCTCAAGGATGACTCGCGGCTGCAGGCCGCGAGTCCTCGAGCTCCGGCGCGTGCGGCTTCCTCCAGGCCCTCGCCATCAGATTCCGATGGCAGAACTCGCACGAGCAAAGATCAGGCTGGGCAGCGCTGTCCGTGAAGTCGGAGGGCGGTCGTTTGGCTTCGTCCTGAGCCAAACTTTCAGTTGCTTTTGCCGATGCCTTGTCACTTGTGTCACGTGTCCTTTGCACAGGTGGTAACGGAAGTCCCGAAGGCGTGCTTTTCTTCTGAAGCTTTTGGAGCGGCTGCGGCCCCACAGGCAAGTTCCGGCTGCACTTCCTTGAAAGCCTGTTTCTCAAGCTTTGGACAGGTGGTGAATGTGGGAAGCCCAGCCAAGAATGAGCAGACCCAAGTCAACTGAAGTTCTCCCATAGTTCCAAGGTTGCACCAGGTGATGAGATTGCCTGGCCCTAGCGACCTAGCAGAAGTTGTCAGCTTTTCATGGAATTCTCAACGAGGTCGAGGTGAATGGCTTTACTTTGGCCAAGCTAACCGACCGCATCACATCTCCGGGTGGTGCACTGAACACCTGCCAAGCCCATACTCCTGGCAGCGCAACTCGGCACAGCATGGCACGCAACAGCTACAGTACTTGGATCATCGTGGCCATCACTAAGCTCAGGTGGGCAAGCTGCAGTCACCTCCCTGCATTTCCTGTGACTTCGTCCGTCGGCAACGGGATTTCGGTCTGGACAGGGATGCATGTTGCACCCATGCTGCACTGTAGCGCCAGCCCTGATTACCCTGCTCATCTTGGCACAGCAGCTGAGCCTGAACGGTGAGAGCTTAGCAAAACTCCGTACACGGCAAGAGCCAACAACGTTGAATTCAACAGCGCTCGAACAGTTTGAATTCAAAACCTTGCCCTGTCTCAGGACCTAGCACTCCAGATGTGGCTGCGCGTGGTTAAGCAGCTCATCTTCTTTTATGAGCTCCTGCCTTCCAAATGCCTGGCACGGCAGAGCCAAGGCAGGACATGCCAATCACTTTGGGTGCGGGGGGCTGAGCCGGATTGCACCAGACTAGAATGAAGCCTGAGTTATGCATGAACTTTCAGATACTGGTAAGAGCGCAGGTCAAAGCAACCAGTAAGAAATGTGAGCCATGCACCATCCATGTAGTGGTCTCGGGGCCAGCCCTTTTTGCCAACAAGGTTCGCTGCCCTCCTGCATCACAAAATGTCTTGCCAGCAAAGAGGCGCCCAGCGGGAAGCGTGTACAAGCATTAGCGCTCATTGGATGCTTGAAATGCATACGCCAGTTCCAAAACAATAGCCTGCGGCACCCGAGACAATCTTGTGGAAGCATGAGCAGGCGAGCCTGCGCAGAAGTGTCTCAGCCAGAGCAGGCCAGGAAACGCTTCTGCTTCTTGTGGTTATGAATATGTGTATATATATATATACATATCATTACGAGCCCAGCCCGAACCCGAACCCGAACCCGAACCCGATCCCGA